GCAGCCTGGGGCGCGCCTGAGGCTGGGCGGGGAGGAGCGTAGCAGCCGCGTGCAAAGTCCGCGGAGCCCCGTGTGAGTGCACCGTGGGGGCGCGCCTCTTCCGGTTGCGACCGGGATCGTGAGGACAATGGGGGTGAGGGATCGGGTGGCAAAACTCTCTTGCTGAGAGCCACCTGCCGTCCCAAGGACTGCGCTTTGGAACTGGATTCTCTGGGCTTCTTTGTTGCTACTTAGTTACTGGGTGGCAAACAGCCTGGGAAGACGTGCCTGACCTCTGCACTCTAAAATGAAAGTCCCGCACCCCGGTGTGAAGGACCTGCTCCCATGATGGTCTACGGTGGAGAAGGAGCTGCTGCTTTCCTCCATAGATGTGTCTAGTCACCTGAGGGCAGTAGCTTTACCAACCCCAGCTATGGACCTCAGTTTGAGCTTGCATTTCATTGCTTAAGTTACTGTTTCTCTGGTTACCACACGAACCAGCCTGACTCCCTACTGAATGTTTTTTATTTCATTTTATTTTATTCCCTACTGAAATTTTTATTTCAGTCCTATAGCCAAAGCTCCCTACTAACCTTCCTACTAACCTTCCCTTGAGTAAGTTATGAGCATAGAGAAGGATGAAACCCTTACTACACACACACACACACACACACACACACACACACACACACAGAAAATTCATTACCACTTCAACTACAAGTCAGTATCCCTCATGGGAAAGGGCCACCCATCTGGAGAATGAACCTTTAGAGAGAAATGCCTGAGATAAAGGGTCATGGAAAAATAAATGCCCTACAGATGGAGCCTTACATTGTTTCCTTTAAATGTATGTTCACACCTGCCATCTGTTCACCATATCACAGTTTGCATGTTGGGTATCATTTTTAAAGCTCATCTTAGTGGAGTAAATTTCCACTTCCCAGCAACAAAGAATGCTGTTATTGTCATGGAGAAAATTTGAAAAATAAAGTTTTGGCAAAGTTATCTTTTAAAGTGAGCATAAGGATTGTAATCCTTAACAGACGGGGCAAAACATGAAGTTACTGAGAGCTAACATACTATAATGAATACTAAGTAAGGGTTAATTCTGAAGTGAACTAAGGCACCCACCAGGTATGCAGGCTTTGGGGCTCAGAGTGGGGTCCCTGGTCACAGATCGGGTACACTCCATTTTTGTTCCCATCCTCTGGCAAGGGACCACAGCCTCCTGGCTATTTCAGTGAGGAACTGATTCCCTCACCTTCCCACCGACCTCCCTCTGTCTGAGATCCTTCCTTGTGCCACTGGACACTGCTGGGCCCTCTCCTTATTATCAGTAAGGGGCAGCAGAGAGCAAGAGTCTGTATTTCAAAACTGGCTGCTCTACCAGCTCTGGCTCCTAGACTTCAATCAGAGAAGGCCGAGGTTTTGTATGGGGGATTTGACTTTGTTTGAGGGTTTTGTTTCATGTATGTATATGCATGTGCTGGGATTGAACCCAGGGCTTCACACTTGCTAGGCTAGTCCTCTACCACTGAGTTACCCTCCCAGCCCAGGCTGGGTTTTAAAGCATTCACTGATTTAAGACGGATGGAGAATATTTTTGCAACTAGCCCATATAAAAGTTACTGCTTTTCTCTCTGCCACTTACCCTATTTTGTTTTCCTCCACAGCGTTTTTATCCCCATTACCTGACATTATTTATTTATGGTCTTCTCCTGCGCCCCAGAGCATAAGTTCCAGGACACCAAGGACATGCTTTGTTCAGTGCAGTGACCTCAGCACCCACAACGGTGCCTGGCACATAATGAATACTCATATTTGCTGGTGGAATAAATCATTTTTATCCAAGTTGTATAAAGGGTGCCTTTGAATTCCCCAAGCAGAGATGCAGGGACATGCACAGATACACACACTAGTTTGAACCAAAATAGTTCATTGCCTGAATTGCATTCACTCAGTGGCTCCCAACTCAGGGTGCATCAGTATCATCAAGGGAGCTTTCACAGATTCCTGCCTTCCTTACTGTTCAGATTCTGCCTGTTCTTATTTTTTATATTCTGTAAATGATACTAATGGGCAGCCACAATCGAGAATCACTTGTCAAATGCTGCCAGGGTCACAAAAATAAGAGATCTAGCTCTTGCCCTCCAAAATGGTAACTAGTTTAAGGCACAAAGTCATAACCACAATTACCTGTTTACCAGTGAGTGACAGTTTATGACCAAGTAACTGAGAGCTTGCTAAAAGGTGCTAATGAGGATCATAGGTCATCAACAACTTTGTGCTTGGGATGGAGAAGTGGATGAAACAGACATTGTTGACAGATATGAGCCTTACTGAATGAGTACGATTTGTATTAGTAAAGAGAAAGGCACTGTAGATAAGGGCAAGGAGAGCTTAAGCAAATTTTGTCAAATAGACAAAATTGTATCAGGGGCCAATTAAAAAAAAAATCAGTATTGAGGATCCAAATTGGAAAAGTGCAGAAAAGAAGTACATAATGACTAAGGTTTCAAATTCAGACTCATGAGACAATCCTGAGTTAATGCATTTTGCAAATACCACCATACAAAATAAGAGTATGTACTTACAACTCCCCCATAGAAATAGGCACAGTGTCAGCAGACAGTGGGAGTTCAATAAATATCTATTAGTTGAGAAATAAGTGAAGAGAAAGAATCAAGAGAACAAGAGTAGGCTAATAAATACTGTTTGTCCCCTGCAGAGTTGATGCTTTAGTCAGATTTCTGTCACTGTGATACAATACCTGAGAAAGATCAACTTATCAGAAGAAAATTTAAGTTTGGCTCACAGTTCTGGAGATTCATGGTCATTTGGCTCCAATGTTTCTACTGTGGTGAGGCAGAAGAGGAGCACATGGTAGAGGAAACTGCTCATCTCATGGCAGACAGCAAACAAAGAAGAAGAGAAGGGGTGGGGGTCCCAATATGCCCTTGAAGGGCATAGCCCCAATCACATACTTCCTCCAATCAGACCCCATTCTCCTGAAGCTTCCACCACCTCCCAATAGAACCATGTCCCCCAAAAGTTCACCTGTGAGACAATGCAAAAACGTTCAGAAGTTAAATGGTTAAATTATGAGAGGTATAATCTAATCAGTGGGTGATTTCACGGATGCAAATTAACTGGATGATAACTGCAGGCTGTAGGGGATACAGGAGGTAAGTTATTTTGCTTCCTGTTGCCATATCCTGAGCCACTTTCCTCCACCAGCCCTTCCTCCACTTGGGCCCACAGCAATGGAGTGGGCCATCTGCAGACTGAGGCCTCTGAAACCATGAGCCCCAAGTAAACTTTCCCTCCTCCACATTGTTCTTGTCAAGTCTTCTGATCACAGTGAGAAAAACTGACTAAAACATCTAGGGACCAAGCCTTCTATACATGAGTCTTCAGGGGACATTTAGGATGGAAATCATAACAGTGGAAATGCAGATAAGAGAGTGGATGGCCAAGGTCAGGAGAGAAAGGGAAGGGACTTTGTCTTATTCACAGCTCTATCGCTTACACATTGAATAATGACTAGCATGCCACAGGCCGTCTAGAAGTATATATCAAATGAATAAATAAAAGGCTAACATAGTAGGTGCCCTTTGAAGGTAATTACCCAGCTGCTGGACCAATGAATTCTCCCTTGTCTAGTTACTGAACTCTTTCTTTCTGACCTAAAAGCCAGGGAACCCAGTATCCGTGGAGGACCTTCTTCCTCTTACAGAGTAGATCAGGAGGCAGAGGAAGAATTTCTTCTGAAATAACTTGAAGCAGCTGTGGAGAAACCCACAGAGTCTCAACAGCTTGTGGATCCAGAGTCAAGTCCCTTCCTTGACCCCAACAGTGTTGGAGTCTTTGGTTTAAATGAACCAACCCTTCATCATTGGGTAAATCACTTAGAATTAGTTATTCCTATTAACACAACAAAGGAGCACACAGAGAACCTATTTTGTCCTATAAGATAGAAGAGCAAGTAAGATTAAAGAGACAAATTGCCCTTCACTTAGAGATCACACTGGGGCAGCAAGGTTTTAGATATCTCTGGCACCATTGCAACAGATGCCACAACCCAGACCCAGAGAGGCTCGATCCCACAGAGGAAAGTCTCCATGGCAACATCAGGGCTGGTGTGTTAAGATAAAACCTAGAAGTGGCTGAAAGGTGAATGGCTAAAGAAATAAGCACACCTGTTCTCCTCCATTCAGAGTTTCTGTCACAGCTGGAGAAAGAACAGAATGTTATGAAAGAGAGAGATGGTAGAGATCATGAATAAGAGAATGCATGAAGGAGCAGAGGAGAGTTTCTAACTCAGACAGACAGTTGTAAAAGAGCCTATAACTAGCTCTATGCTCCTTAAGCAATGGAAAGAGAAGTAGAGGTAAAGTCGGACCTTGCTTGGATATTGTATAATAAAGAATTTCTCTGCTCCTTGTCCTGGGCTCCTGGGAGGAAACCTCTAATAAGCCCTTGAAATTTCTGGAGTCCCAGGAGCATCTTTGTCATTCCTGGTGGGCATCTTGGTCCCCACCTGAGTATATGCTGCAAAGATGACTCATGGTGCATCCCTACCTATCTTCAGGTGGGGTTTGAAATTACCAGAAAAAAAAAAAACAACAATG